TCGTGCATGCACTTGCTTTGGGCATCAAATCTCGAAGAACCATTTACTCGAGTAGATCTGGTAAAGCGCTACTTTTTATTTCATAATCTTTCAATCAGCTCGTAATGCGTCATGCAGGGCGCCCTTCACCAGCATAAGCTCTTCTACTCATTGATCTATGTCTTTGAAAGTCTTTCCACTCTGCATTTTTGCGTAGTCTTGATCTACCGTCTCATGCCCATTTGCATTGCCACTCTTCGTGCGAAAGGGAAAAGGTGGTGTATTCCTTGTGCGTACCAGTCACGGTCTCATCGAATCTTGTCTTGGATCCAGAAATGTGGTCTGCTGTCAGTCACAGAACTTCAGTAAGCTATTCAGTCTTTGAGCATTCCACCCCCAATTTCTAATCTCTTGACTCTCAAGTGACTCAAGTGCGTGTTTTTGTCGCCATAAAGTTTCTCAAATTCAATTTCTGGCGTAAGTACCACTGATATCGGATGTCAAGAAGTTCTTAACTGAGGTGAAATTCTGAGCAATTTCCCAGCTGGCCTGTAAAACCGTAGAATCCATAATAGGAGGTTCATACATATACTCGCTACTAGTAGGTTCGAAGGTGATTCTGTGACGAAGAATTCCATTATTCGTACGTGAAACTCGAAGTGCGCTCTGCCAATTATGCTACAGGATGATTCCCAGCCCAATTACTAGTTCGCTCTACCTTGTAAGCATAACCCGCTACGGTATTAGGATTTCAGCTGACTTCATCGCATATGCTTATTGAGTACGATTGATCGGAAGAATATTTCATTGTCAACACCCTTCAGACTTTCGCAAAGCGAGGTAAGTTTGGATTTCCACTCCTATTGCTTCTTATTCTGATATAGGCTTCAGATTAGAATACTTGAAAAGCTGCTTTTATGCCATTGGTGTTCCCAAGTCAGCACCACTCCGGGATACTCTGAATTGCGCCCTACGTATCAGGTCAGATCTCCCAAAATTCTTCTTCTTGTGGTGTCCCTGTACATGGGGATGTTTGGAGATGAAAGGAGCTCAATAACTCTGTCAGCACTTTCAGGTCATACGGTATCTGACTTGCAAGAAAATGTACATGCACTGTCTTTCAGCTGAAATAGATCGATGTGTGGCAAGGATCTATCTGGGCCAGCAACTCAATGGCAGCCTTCAGCAGAATCAATGATTATAGGCTGAGTTCTAACTTTCGCCATAATGTAACAACAAGCTCATATCGCGTCATGTAGGATAATCTAAGTGGCTCTACGCCGGCCCAAGCTGATTTCAATCCCTCGCTTGACCCACTCTATATGACCTACAACGATACATTTTACTAGCCAAATGTAATTGACAGCACCCACTTTTTTTGCAGAAGATAGTGTAAGTTACGATCCGGTTTGGTCTCAATGCAGGAAAGTCTTGCTTCCATTTGTATCAACGGACCAAGGAAATATCGCTCGCTCACTGAAAATTCAGGAGGATAGGTGATTGTAAGTTAGGTAACTTTTTGGATGTACCACTTTCGATTTCTAATATCTTGTCTTAGAGAGCGTACGTTAAACTATTCGGATGAGTATCGATGCTATCCCAACATCGATATGAAGAAGCATAACTTTCTGACTTTGAACAAAGTTTTCTGTGCGATTATTCCAATCGGCCTGCAAACCGAATAATCACTATCCATCTGTGTTGGGACTTTCTTCAGAGTTACCAGCTCAGCTTTTCTCTATAAAAGAGAGTCGACTTTTTTCATTGACCGTCAGAGCCCACTCATCTCGAATCGAAGAACACACTATCGAGCTGTACGTATTCATCGTGGTATTCTATGAGCCTCCTTTGATCATTTTCCAGAACGATGCCTCCTCAATATCGACGCCCTCTTCCCTCCAAGAACACAGTTTTGACTCGCTACGGCGGATGGCTTCCTGCTGATCCTGTGGTTTATGAGGCGTTCTTTAATGATCTTCTGCGTGCCATCGATACAGAGAAGGATCATGTTCCCGCTGTCCAGGAGTTCGAAACTGCCCTCAAATCTGATCCCGAATTGCTTGACTTGTTCGAACAAACCTTCTTACAAACTGCGCCCGAAAACAGAGTAATCGTATATTTTTGTCGCCATTATTTCGTATTCTAATATACGCTCCAGATTCGGGACATAGAACAGCTGCTTTATTGCCTGGATGAAGTTGTCGTCGCTGCCCCTAAATTCCAGGTGGTCCGAAACGAACGAGGCGCAGTCACTGGTGGCGAGCCCATCGGCGTCCCCTTGTATCTTCTGCTCGACCTTCTCAGCAACACCGCTGCGGGTTTCGATCTCTTTCGCAACATCAAATTCAATTCTGCTTTGAAAGCCTTGCTTGACTCTTGGGGCGAATACCTTCAGAGCCCTGAGTCCAACAATACGCTCAATGATAGTGATGAAGGCTGGTTTGGTGAAATTGGGTTAGCGACTCTCGAATATGACCGCGGCGTATTCAATGAAACCTACGAGTGTCCCGATGAGACTGCAGTCAACCGTGGCTTTACCTCTTGGGATTCTTTCTTCACCAGGAAATTTAAACCCGATGCTCGTCCTATTCAGAAGCCAGACCCTCCCAATTTCTTCATCTATAACGCTTGTGAATCCACCGTGATTCGCAAAACGACCGGAGTCGAGGAACACGACCAATTCTGGCTCAAGGGTCAGGCCTATTCTATCTATGACATGCTTGCACGCCGTGACGATGAACTTGCCCATTCCTTCATTGGTGGGACTGTCTATCAGGCCTTCCTCTCTCCGTATGATTATCACCGCTGGCATAGTCCCGTGGACGGTACCATTCGCGAGATCCAGATTATTGAGGGAACATACTATGCGGCGCTGCCTGATGAAGGGGCCGGAGAGTCTGACCCCGATTTCCAACTTGGCGATCCTCGAGGTGCTATCATCCGCTCCCAGCCATGGATGACCCAAGCTGCTACCCGTGCCATCATTTACATTGACGCTGACAACAAGGATATCGGATGCCTCGTATTCGTTGGTGTTGGGATGGTAGAAGTATCGACTTGTCAGGTCACTGTCAGCGAAGGACAGAGCGTTAGCGTCGGCGATGAGCTTGGAATGTTCCGCTTCGGTGGCTCGACCCATGCGCTCATCTTTGGAAAAGATGTCAAACTCAAGTTTTTCGATCTTGAACAAGACAAGGGACACCGTCGCGTTAATACCCCCTTGGCCGCACTTGAAATCTAGGTGTAGCGAGTAACGAGAAGTAATGCGTTACTAGCGGCCAGAAGTTGAATCAATGTTATCTCCCAGCAGCGTCGACGAAATCGTGTCCGGTCATCCATCTTTATGTACAGTAGCAGAGTCACAGTAAACAGAAATTGCGCGCGTGTATGTGAATTACAAGTTTTTGAATCTTATCATTGTCAAAAAAAGTTGTGAGATGAGACGTCACGTGCAAGGCTCAAAAGGCTGTTAAGTTTTGCTGTTATAATTATCGGAGGGGATGCATATTCTTATTCTTAGTAATTGTTGACATTGATGATATAGAGGTCTAGAGCAGCATAGTTGAAGAAGATGATATTCCGCTGCATTGCAATGCACTAAAGCACAATCTGATAATCGGCAACACGGCGACTGTTGCCAAACAACTCCCAGCAGGTATTCCGATCTCAGCGCTTTTATCGTACCCCCTGGATTCCACCATGATCTTCTGGCTCTTATTGGGCTTGTTTTCCTTCGCAAACGGCCAATACTTTTCCGAAGGTTGGAAGCCCGGACAGGCTTTCACCAACGAGCCTTTGGCACCAGTGCCGACTGTAGCATCAGGACACGTCGGTGAAGAGCCACAAAGTCAGCAAGGCTCATCGCTTGACTCGTCCTCGATCTCTTCTATATTCGCCAAAATCGGCGTAAACATCACCAGTATTGCCTCAGCTGCTGGTCTATCATCAAAGGCCGCGTATCCCTGGGATCCGCGAATACCTTTAATAACAGACGTGAACTATGATAACATAGTAGTCAATGAGGAACTCACTCCGGAGGAGGAAGGGAATAGGACATGGCTGATTGTCGTGTACGTTGTGCCTCGTCTGTTTTACAATACATTGATTGGTGAATGTACCCTTATCTTATGATATATTCTTTAGTTCAACAAGCGCAACCAACCAAGGGGGAGGAATGTCTCAATTCGTCGACAAGATATTTGACGAGACATACAACGAAACCCTCATAGCTGAAGACATGCCTAACCTGCGCTGGGGTCGTATAGATTATCTCAATGTGACCTATCTCACAACCAAGTGGGGTGTATGGCAGTGTGTACTTTATCATGCTTATTCGTCTCCTCGAGATATAGCTGACCTCATTTTGGCTACAGAGCGCCGACCTTTATTATTCTGCAGAATCGTGGACAAACTCTTCGATTTGTAAAACCCCATTGGTTACGGCTCCGTGAAGGCGCTCTACGTGAATTCCTCACAGCTGGAACTTATAACGAAGTTCCTCCTTGGGATAGCTCTTTTGCTCCGGGTGGCAGCAAGTGCGTGCTCATCTTCTTTCCTATCACTTCAACTCACATCGAACGTTGCGCTCCCAGTGAATACCTCCTTCACTACCTCGGTCTGGTTTTAACAACGATCTACAATATAACAATCAAAGTCCCAAGATGGATTTTGTACATCTTATCCGGAAGTGTGGCTTCGTTTATCATTCAATTGTTACATCGACCGCCGAAGAAGGACCAGCTGAAAACCAAAATCCAGGCGGAGACATCACAGGAGACTAGTGCACCTGCGGCTGCAGCTGCGTCAGGTTCGACACCTGCTCAGAGTAAAGCGAAGCAGCGCAAGTCAAAGAAATGAGAATGGCCACTTTGCAAGGATCTATGTAGACAGCATGTTGAAATTATACAAACAGTATTATATGTACATGTATTGCTATCAACAGCTTTGACCGATATCAATTTTCCTCAATAGATAGATAGATAGAGTAATATGATCATTCTAATAAATGGTGTTTTACTAACGTCCCCGTAGATTAGTGGTTAGATCATCACGTTGTGGCTTCTATGCGCATCCGTGGAGACCCAGGCTCGACTCCTGGCAGGGACACTTTGTTTTTGACTTTTCGCTACTGGAAAACGCGGGCCCCAGTCCAAACCTATTTTCTGCTTTTTTCCCGTGAAAACATGGTGGTGAATAAGGTGTTGACATTCCAGATGCATACATACTAACACAGCGCCGCACATTCTATACATCAGTATGGATTTCAAGACTGCATTTCATGGTTCGAATATCAACAAAACATATCCCTGAATCAGTGCAAATGGAGGTTTGTTTGCAATCCTTCCTGATTCAATTCCACAAAAGCATCGAAAGGAGGGAGCCAATAACTATTAGTCTCCAACGTAAATGACTTCAATTGCACACGCTCTTGTATCTGCTCCTGTAGGGCTGGCTCCTTCATCTTCCCCGGAACTTTCGAACGAGAGGCTACCATCGCAACAAGTTCTTCCGCATATAAATATTCCCGCGATGATATAGTGTACACACTGAGAGCTAGTTCCTCCAGATGGGGAAGGATATTACAATGTGAAGTAGACCCTGAAGCACTACCACCACCATTAGGAACATATTTCAGAGCAACGAGGAGATCTTTAAACGCGGTGCTCTGTCTATGCCCCGGATGAATTGACACGTTGAGAGCAAGCCTCCTTAAGTATGACGCGCTAAGTAAAGCGTCCAAAATGTTATTTCCTATTGGAATAGCCTCAATTTCGAGTTCCTGTAGCCGAGATTGCGATCGACTTAAGAAAGTTTTCAACGAATCGCCCGTCTCTGGGAGGACTACGTTCAACGATAGAAGAGCCGGCGCAGCTAGGTACTGCAATAAGACAGAGGCCGTTCCCTCCAATTGCAATCTCTGCAATTTTCTCAAAGGCACTATGTCAGAACCCAGTGGTTCCTGACGCCATGGTAGAGAACAATTTACAGTGCATTCTACCAGCCCGGTCGCGAGCCGTAAAACCGGAAGATGTTTCTCAGGAAAGTCCTGAGCCACATTGTAGTGTGTCAAATACGACCAACGAAGCCCTAGACTATTTGTTGTGAGTGGAATTCCAGCGAGTTTCACAGAACGCAATGCTGGTGCACCCGTAAAGATTTGATTGCATGTTGCTGTGAGACTAGAAGAATAAGCTAGATCCAAATTGAGATCGAGATGGCGTAAAAGGTGAGCGCGTTCGATGGATCGCGCGGATAGATGAGTGGTTAAGAAGACAGGGATTCTGAGTCGACATGTTTCCCAACGACTGGATTGAGCGACAAGGACGGCGAACAACGTCTGAGGCAGGCTCGCAACGTCTCGACAGGTGAACTCGACAAAGATTGGTCTAGAGCCAGAACGCTCAAGGAAGAGAGAGAGGATGTGTACAGCGTAAGGTGGGTAATGCATCCGCCCGGGTAGAGAAACCGTGGTCCAAAAAGAGGTACGATTGAGGATAAGGGTCCTCCAATTACCACAAACATGTGTGAGGGGCCATAATCCACGGTCAAAGTCCAGAACGTCCTCAGGGTCTTCGCTGCCCAGCACTTGAAAGAATATTTCCATGAGAAGTTCACCAGGCAGCCGACGCACGGGTGATAGGACAAACTTGTATTCGCGTATAGTCTGTTGGACTTGCGACAACTCCTCGATGTGATGATCCAGTGCGGTCTTCAGGTATCGAATATCCTCCAGCAAGAATGGTTCTCGGTCTTGAGCGGATCTAAGAGTGTTTGAGAAGATTTGAACGTCAACATCATCTGGCGGTTCGTTTGTGTGAAAGTGGTCAGCGATGTTGGGTATAGGAATGATCGAGTGGCGACCAGGCATAGATTTGGACATGGAGGACATGGATTGGAAGAAATTGAGGTTCTGCAGAACACAGGGCTATTTGCGAGAAGGTGTGGCTATAATTAAGAGTAAAATTCAATCCTGATAGTGGAACCTGCGTTCAAAAGGAATGTTAGCACTTGAATTTGGTGACAATCTATGTATCATTCTGTCCATGCAATAGATGTTGCATATAACTCACATTATGCTATCAATAGGCGCGTCCTGGTAGTAGTTGTGGACCCAATAAGACTCACTGTGTTGTCGTGGTTTGGGTTCGAGGTCCTAAATGAGTGCCGAGTCATGTCCGGGTCCGTGCAGATAGGCGTCGCTCCATCGGCCGTATAAGCAGTATCTGCCAGCTGTCATGAACAATGCAGCCCGCTGCATATTACTTACTAAATCATTTCCCACCACACCTATTCTAGTTGCGTACAACCATTTATACTGTTTCTATGGTTTATGACGGGGCTATAATGAAAATGGTTCGCACCAACCACATATAACCAAAACATATGAATGAATTCACAAAAAATATGTGTACCATATCCATACAAGATGGAGATTATAGATCCCACCAACCATATTTGAGAGTGACAATATATAGTAAATATCAACCACATTCACATATAATAAAACTGCAAGAGTATCTGTTCATATGGTCAACATCAACCACAGTCAAGTAACAAGTTATAATCTGTGGATATGGTTCACCTCAACTACATTTGATTGAGAGGTTATAGTTGACATGAGCCACATACACGAATAATCTGTGGATATGGTTCACCTCAACCACAGTGGTTGAGCCATATCCACAAAAAATAGGAAATATGGTTCACCACATCCACATCTGGGAAACTTTATAGTTGAGGCTAACCATATCCACAGATTATTTGTGCATATGGTCAAAACCAACTACATTTGATTGAGAGGTTATAGTTGACATGAACCACATACACAAATAATCTGTAGATATGGTTCACCTCAACCACAGCGGTTAAAGTTGAGGTGTACCATATCCACAAAGAACACAAAGAACAAGGGGATATGGTTCAAATCAACCACAGTCAAGTAACAAGTTATAGTTGAGGTGAACCATATCCACAGATTATTTGTGTATGTGGTTCATGTCAACTACATTTGAATGAGAAGTTATGGTTGACATGAACCACATACACAAATAATCTGTGGATATGGTTCACCTCAACCACAGTGGTTGAGCCATATCCACAAAAAATAGGAGATATGGTTCACCACATCCACATCTGGGAAACTTTATAGTTGAGGCTAACCATATCCACAGATTATTTGTGCATATGGTCAATACTAACTACATTTGATTGAGAGGTTATAGTTGACATGAACCACATACACAAATAATCTGTGGATATGGTTCACCTCAACCACAGCGGTTAAAGTTGAGGTGTACCAAAGAACACAAAGAACAAGGGGATATGGTTCAAATCAACCACAGTCAAGTAACAAGTTATAGTTGAGGTGAACCATATCTACAGATTATTTGTGTATGTGGTCTACACCAACTACATTTGAATGAGAAGTTATGGTTGACATGAACCACATACACAAATAATCTGTGGATATGGTTCACCTCAACCACAGTGGTTGAGCCATATCCACAAAAAATAGGAGATATGGTTCACCACATCCACATCTGGGAAACTTTATAGTTGAGGCTAACCATATCCACAGATTATTTGTGCATATGGTCAATACTAACTACATTTGATTGAGAGGTTATAGTTGACATGAACCACATACACAAATAATCTGTGGATATGGTTCACCTCAACCACAGCGGTTAAAGTTGAGGTGTACCATATCCACAAAGAACACAAAGAACAAGGGGATATGGTTCACATCAACCACAGTCAAGTAACAAGTTATAGTTGAGGTGAACCATATCTACAGATTATTTGTGTATGTGGTCTACACCAACTACATTTGAATGAGAAGTTATGGTTGACATGAACCACATACACAAATAATCTGTGGATATGGTTCACCTCAACCACAGTGGTTGAGCCATATCCACAAAAAATAGGAGATATGGTTCACCACATCCACATCTGGGAAACTTTATAGTTGAGGTTAACCATATCCACAGATTATTTGTGCATATGGTCAACACCAACTACATTTGATTGAGAGGTTATAGTTTAGGTGTACCATATCTACAAAAACAAGGGTATATAGTTCACATCAACCACAGTCAAGTAACAAGTTATAGGTGAGGTGAACCATATTACATTTGATTAAGAAGTTATCATTCACATCAACTACAGTTAAGTGACAATCTGGTCCAATTTTGAGTCAGAGGTTGTGCAGCTGAGGTGAGCCATATCCACAGATATGGTGTACGCCAACTATATTCGAGTAACACGTTATAGTTCAGGTGACCCATATCCTGATATTATCTGTGGATATGGTTTACATTAACCACATTTGAATCTCAGGGTATGGTCGACACTAACCATATATGGGGCAAGGTACAAGTATGGGTTATGTGACAGAGCAACAGTTCATAGAGGCTACTTCTATCACTTTAAAATTCCAAAAAATCATCTATATCTATATTATGAGCCTGCAATTATTTTTAAAAAATGAGATACCTAAACGGATCGAACTTGTGAGTCTATGACAAAACTGTTTAAGAGTCCTGCAAATTACACTAAACCACTACACCATTGCGACTTGTTTCATTCTGGAGATTACATATAGACATTGACCTATCATTGTGTACAGAAAATTGTTGGACGCATGTCCGTACTAGTAACAATGTTCAAATGTAATAGAGATATTTACATCCCTTGTGCTCTCTAAATACTGCAGTCCTCTTGATATAGCCATGCGTGTCTCACTCTCCCTGGTTTCTACACCTGCCGATGCCAGGATCCCTTTTTCATCTTTTGGAGACTGACCACTCCAAGGGAAGACATGCCGGGTGTCCTGCAAGATTTCGATTTCGATTGTGAACAATTGAGGAAATCGGTGTACATCCTTCAAGACCTCCCCTAATACCTCCCACATCTGACAGTCCTGAAGCTCCTTGGTGACCGCATAACTATGCATTGGTGTCATCTTCAGGTGAAGGATCACCAAACCATCCCACGATTCTGGGCCCTTTAGCAACTCTAAAAGATAGTGTAGGCCCGTAAAGCAAGCCCAGGTCTTTGTAAACACCGTCACAATCAATTCAGTGAGGCTCGAGGGTGGGTCA